GGGGGGGTGCTTCATCACGGCCCGAGATAGCGCTTGGAGCACGCGGGACCTGTGCTATAAAACCCTGATGGAAGTGTGCAGACGACAAAAATGTCCAGACGACATTCTTCTAGCCCTCTGTCTGGGAACGGCAGGTTGTTGTGGGGGTGGTGGTGGTGGGGGGTGTACGTGGAACCTGTGATCTAAAACCCTGATGTAAGACTTATAGTTCTTGTTGGTGTCTCGTTGTGGTCGGGCTCAATCCCCGAGCGTTCCCACGCACAGGTCACAGGGGTCATCACACACACGACAAAAATGTACATAAAAATGTGCACACGACAAAAATGAACAAACGACAAATTTGTAGACAAAAATGTACAGACAAGACAAAAATGTACACCCGACAAAAATGTAGACAAAAATGTACAGACGACAAATTTGTAGACAAAAATGTACAGACAACAAAAATGAACAAACGACAAATATATAGACAAAAATGTACACTCGACAAAATTGTACAGACGACATTCTCCCTGCTCTCTGTCTGGGAGCGGCAGGTTATTGGTTTTTTTTGGAGGGGGAGGGGTGGTTGGATTTGGAATATAAACAACCAACCCCCATCCCCCCCCCTCAACACTCACATGAACCAACAAAAGAGACACAAAACGTAATTGACACCAACAAGAACAAATTAGGAAAACTATATTGTTTGAATGGAAGCAGATAGAAGTTCCACTGTGCATCTTTCACGTAGTGTAAGAAAACTCTAGTGGGCCTTGACCACTGTATGTTGTTGATGTTATTTATACATTAACTACTGTATGTAGTAAAACTCTAGTGGGCCTTGGCCACTGTATGTTGTTGATGTTATTTATACATTAACTACTGTATGTAGTAAAACAAGCTTGGACCGTTCCACAAATATAAAAAAACGATCCACAAAAGATGACATCTTATACTAGTAAAGGCCACATCTTACGTTATTTCATGAAGTCAGAAAAAGAACCTTACGTGATTATTTTGTTCTCTGTTACTAGAAAAGATCAAAGACCTCTCTAGCTCTGTCTCCCATGCCATATACGACTAGATCTAGCGGTGAGTGGAGCGCTGATGCAATCCTCAATCTAACTGCTCGGAAAGTGCTCACAAACATGACGGTAGACAGGAACCACCTCGGGATAGATGAGAGATGGAATCAGAGAGAAGGCCC